GTACCTGCTCTATTAAACGCGATTCCCTATCGTGTAATTAAAAACAGGTACCTATAGGTAGTAGGTAGGTAATTTATGTTGAGCATTTTTCCCCAGTAACCGAATTGTATCGGAGCCGGAAAACCTCTGCGATTAAATTATTTGTAATATCCGATTTGGTGCAGATAATTTTGAGTGTTTGTTTAACACTACCTCATACCAATTTTCAACTAATTGTAAAACTAATAACTATTTTTTAGTCGATTTTTTATTGATACAGTTCACATGCCACAACACGAACGAACAACTGTTGTGTTTGAAGAAAGATGTGATAACCAGTCAACCACTTACAATTTTTATTGGGAATTGCAATAGAACATGTACCTATTATATTATACAGGGTGGTGACTTGCGTAACGCATCATAGGGATTTCAATGTAAAATTCATAACATGCGATTATTGGCTCCCCAAATTATTTTAGAGCAAAAATGTATTAAAGATTTTTGTAGAAAACACTTTTTTACGCCAATCAACCGTATTAGTTTTCAATTTTTTTCATATAAAGACGGAAAATTGGAAAAATAAAACCCGCGCATCTTTTTCAATAATCTGCGATGCCATATGGAATTTTCTAAAACAAAAAGATATCCAGTTATCAATTAGCAGCAGTTCGAAATGGATTTTTCGTACTTCCGAGACTAAAGTGACAACTTCACTCCACTATGACAAGGACTGAAGTGTCACTTTTTGTCCCTCCGGGATTAAAATTGAACGAAAATCCCGGAAAGATTAAATTACTAATAAGGCATTTTCATTAGGTTGTTCCTAATTTTTTATGCGGAACCACTTCTTAAACGCATCGTACTGCTGCTCATATAGTTTTTTGGATTTCGGTGGTATCAATTCTTTACCTACTTTGGCTGCTCTTTTATCAATCAAGTATACACCTTTGTCACCTACGACCAAACTTATGACACTAGCAATGACAATTTGCAAATTATTTTTGTTACCATAGCATAGGGTTTGTCGTACCAACGCAACGTTCCTATGGTAAAATGTTAAGCAGCGATTTTTTGAAAGAAGGCGTTCTCTAACTCCCTACATATTATGTGTTTCAGTTTCGGAAGTACGAAAAGTACCGTATGTACCTTGCGACTGAAGCAGTAGTCTTAATCCCTCAGGTAAATTATACTTTACCTTCGGGATTAAAAGTACTACTTCAGTCCCGCGGTATATAATATATAAACCTCTCGCCAGGAAAGATTGCCGATCACAGAACACTTGATCCTGGTCTACAATCTATGTTTTTCTAAAGATGTGAGCGACTTCCGGGATAATATCATGTCAATGTTGAACAAAAAGACTTTTCGTTCAACATTGACACGATCCTATTCCGGAAGTCGCTCGTATCTTAAGAAAAACATAGATTGCAGATCAACACAAGGTGTGCTGTGACCGGCAATCTTTCCTGGCGAGAGTTATAGATAGAATTTGATTTGTTTTATAGCAGACATTCCATGGCATGACGGATATTGGCGTAGTTTTTGTATTATAAAATTCCATGGCATCATAAAATATTGAAAAAGATGGGGGTTTTATTTTTCCAATTTTCCGTCTTTATTATGCAAAAAATTGAAAACTAATACGGTTGATTGATGTAAAAAATTTTTTTCTACAAAAAACCTTAATTTGCTCTAAAATAATTTGGGGAGCCAATAATCGCATGTTATGAATTTTACATTGAAATCCTTATGATGCGTTACGCAAGTCACCACCCTGTATACCTATTATTTTTGTAAACGCGTCGTTGTAAAACTGGAATGACTAGTGACATTATCACCTATTAGGTGGTAATGCTAGTGACGGCTCGTGAAGTACAAAAGGAATTATTTGAACGGTTTGGCGAATCGAAAAATTAATTCATATACAGGGTGTTGTATTTAAAATAATAAATTCGATACTGCATGTCACCAGAGTTGGACTGGGTCAAGCATAGAGTGACCCGGTGACCCAGTTAGTTTACTGACCCGGTGACCCAGCTTGACCCAGTGACCCATCTTGACCCAGCTTTACTCAGTGACCCGTCTTGACCCGGTGGCCCAGTAATTAAATTATTGTTAGGTATCATCCAAAACAATTTCAAGTAACTTTTAATTTAAAAAAAACTTCCTCAATAATATTCGGCAAAAAGCACGTAGCCCAATTTCATTCAAGACAACTAATACCTAAAAAAATCAATGGCATTTGTTTATAGTTTGTAGTCAAGTAGTCAATGAAAGTATTTAGAGAAAAGATTTATTTGGATTAAGCTAACAAGTAGAAAAAAATTAAATGTGAATGAACACCTGTAAGCAAACTGGTAAGCCCTGAAGCAAAGAAATAACATTATTCTAATACAATTCGGGACATGGAAAGTTTTTTACGGCAGTATTAAAGCAAACATCACAGAAATGGCGTTGTCAAGCAATCGAGTATTATTTTCAACAAACCCGCATTTCATTTATTGCATAATCTGTACACTTGAACCGAGGGCACTGACTTAACTGCGTTATTCGATCAAACTAGGTGACTGGGTCGAATTGGGTCCCCGGGTGAAATTGGGTCGCTGGGTCAAACTGGGTCACTGGGTCAAACTGGGTCTAACTGAAAAGAGTATGACGTGACCCAGCGACCCAGTTTAATTTAGTGACCCAGGTGACCCAGTCCAACTCTGCATGTCACTACTGTTATATGACACCCTGTAGAGAAAGTTTTATTGAAGAAAATGCCCAGTTAAAAATACCAATCGACGTGTTCGAGCGTTAGTTTGAACCCTCTTCCCCTCCGCAAGTTACTTTGATGCCATAAGAATATATTCCTCGCGCTTTGTGTTTCTTGATTTCCGTAATTTTGCACCCTTGTCCAGAGTTTTGCTTCACATTCCATTTATTAACGAGCTCCTAGCGAGTTTATAATTTTGCGGTGTCTGTCCGTTCGTCCGTTAGCACGGAATAAACGAATGGACCGATTACGATGAAATTATGCAGGTGGATTCTTTATCAAATTTGTAGATCGAAGTTCGTGAATTGGCAATGTAGACCAAAAAATAAAGTAGGCCCTATTGATTGATCTGTTAGTTATGAACCGAATTGCATGAAATTCAATATGGGCATAGCTTTAGCCATATCATACGCAATTCCAAAAGTTGAGCCTAATCGATCAGCATTCACAGTGCCCTTTGCGCATCTCGACCATTTACAGACCGAATTGCAAACTTTCTTATTTAAGAAGGCATTTAAATGAAATTTGATACATAGCCACTTGGAATAACACCAAATTTAATGCCAGTTTCAAAGTTTTGTTAGGTACGACGAGGTACTCATTGGTACGGGCTTTCTCTCACTGGGAAAGAGTGTCCAAGATAAGGATGTCTATCATGAAGATTGAAACCATACAAGATACGATGATGGTCAAATTAGAGAAAAGATGCGCAATGAAACCATTATTATCGTGCTTTAGAGAAAACAAAAAAATTCCGATTACTTCCGAAAATATAACAGAAAAACAGAAACTTGCCGATTTTATGTTTATTTTTTGCTTGTGTTATTTGAATAGATACAACAAGAAAGACACTTTCTCATTACCACTTTTTCCACTCTACAAGATAGCACCCGCGCACAACTTGCGAGCATACCTATCGGACAAATTCCTGGAAAATGTTCGATACATATGCTTGCACGATTAAGACGTTGTGCCCGGGTGCACCATCCAGTTGACACCAACAATTTACAACTTTTTATTTGTGTGACGTACATAGTTGTATTCGTAATAAAAAGTGCTACTAAATACAGTGTGTACTTTTTCCATTGGCCATATAAAAAAGTATAGTTTGTGATAATTTCTCCGAAACAAAACGTTGTATTAAGAATCTTCCAACGGTGCTCAAAAAGAGGCAATGAGAAAGTATTTTTTGGGAACAAGAAAACGGCAGTTCTAGGTTCTAAAGTAAACCCGAGTGTCTTCAAAAAGTTCATGATCGAGTCCTATACTCCACAGAATTCCTTCCGCTTTCAGGTTTCGACTAGAACCAGCAGGATTATATTGTGCCAGTAGAAAGGTCAAATGACCGCAACCTACAACGCGACCTGAACCACTGAATTCATTACTTCTTTCAGGACAAAACCCTCTATCGAAGCATTTGTTGCAGAATATTCAACATTATAACTGATGTGTATTCCAAATGACATCATTTTTTGGTGCAAATATAATTCGGGAAAGGGGTTTCAATCCAAATTTTAAGGTATATGTTTTCTGTAACCAACATCATACACATCTATTCCAACATGTAACTACGAATACGAAAATTATAAACACCCGTGCGAAGCCGGGTCGGGGAGCTAGTTTTGTATAAAAAAAGATGGAGACTACTACTGGCATAAGGATAGTAACAGTGGTGTGTTTACATTCATTAGTGGCTAGTTTACTAGGCCATAGTTTACTGGCGCCAGCGTACTTGTATCGTGTCAACGCGGCTTTATGGACTCCATAAGATGGAAGGAAGGGTGATGCACTGAGCCATTGACCATACGTTGGATTCACTTTGTGCTTATACTAAAGATTGGGAGATCATGACAATAATGCGCAACAATCATAAAGTGCACCCGTACCTAACAAATTACCAGGTACACCAACAACAGTTTGAAAATACTACCATTGATTATGTAATGATACTACTCTTTCTTTAGTCTAGTAGTATATCTTTGCTAACAGTTCGTTGCGCCTACAGTAACACCCACATTGAAAATATATATGCTCTGCTCTCCGTTTGCAGATCCAACATAAACGCACCCTCATGTATACAATACTTACACATTATATTGAATCTTCAAATCGTGTACTATCAGAGAACTCAGTCCCGGTTTCAAGAGCAGTTGCGGCAAGATTTCTTTATTGTGGATAATATTACATCGGTTTATTGTTGGCAAACCAAATTGTAACTTTTTGCAATGCTTGTGATTTTAAGAACTTGTATTGTCTGCAGATGTCTTCCTGCCCAATGCCACCACCAGCTCTTAAGGACCTTCCACGTGTTACAGGCGATTTAAAAGGAGAATTGGAATCCTTCAAAGCTAGTAGTTTAAAAAATGCAGAAACTCATGAAAAAATTGTGTTACCATCAGCTGAAGGTAAGTCTCCATATGGGTCCCTAAATATACCTACTTATTCTAAATGCGCTTTGTTTTTTGCATGATTTTCTTGCATTTCAGTGGTTAAGTCTAAAGTGCCCATTTTATTGTTGTAGATTTGAGGTATTAGTATTTAAACAAGCAGTAGACACAGACAGTTATTTTGTTTTTCAAAAGTAGGTCTTTGCATGTGATCAACGTTCGGATTCCTTTTTAAGACAACAAGCAGTTGTTCATTCCACTTCCATGTAAGGACATGACTGGGTAGTATGTCACTCTGTTTAATTGATCTGATCACATTCATCTGGTCTCCTTTTTTTTAAATATCACTAACAGTAGCAGGTTAAGAGCAATATAAATTGTTGTAAAAATCATTAGCTAGTAATGCTTCCATTTGTGTAGATGTAGCAGCGGAAAAAACTGAAAAGGAATTTATAAACGGCATTGAACATTTTGATCAAAGTAAACTTAAACATACAGAAACACACGAGAAAAATGTTTTACCTGATAAAGAAGGTTTGTTCCACTTTTTTTTTTGCTATACTTTATTATCTGCGCTTTGTATGATTTTATGTAATTACTATAATTTTTGCATGTGTTTTGCTTTTGCCATAACCAGTCGTCCAACAAGAGAAAGTCCACCAAAATCTTCTAGACGGAGTAGAACATTTTGATAAGACTTCTATGAAACACGCAACGACAACAGAAAAAAATGTTTTACCAGATCCTGAAGGTAGGTTAAGTTAGAATAACGTTTAACGCTTATTTGAAAGGTGTTTGAATTGATCTAATGGTTTTTGTATCTTGTAAGCTGTGGAACTCGCAATATTCTAATTTCTGCTTAATGTACTTATTTCAGTTATTCAACAAGAAAAAGGCAAACAAGAGTTGTTTTCTGGAATTGAAAATTTTGATACTAGCAAACTAAGGCACGCCGAAACCTGCGAAAAGAATCCACTACCAACTAAAGAGGTGATCGATCAAGAAAAAAGTGCTTAAGTAACGCATAAACTTACTTTTATATATCCATTTGTATTATTTTATACTTTTATATTCAAATTTTGATATATCTATTTATAAATTACTAATACATTACCTACTTTAGCATTCTTACTGGGCCAAAGCTGTAGGCATAATGTTAAAAAAATTGCAATAATTTGTACTTATTTTTGTTTCAATTAACAACATTGCTCATTAAAATAGTTTTTTTTTTGTTATGGTGCTTAAATAAAAATATAGAAAATTTATGTTTTTCTATGAAACTCAACAATGCTGAAATTAAGTGTAGGAAGATGATAATTAATAATTTTCTAAGTGGCACTTGTAAGTGTATGTACCGATAAGGTCATATTTTAGGGATATTGAATAAGTGTATTGCACCATATAGTGAAATGGCGGTTTCTATGTAACCAAATTGCGGATTTTTTTCTCACCAGATTTATGTTTTTGGGATGCTGCTTCATCCAAATTTCAAGTTTGGGAACAAACTGGGTGCCTGTTTCATGACAAAAGGAAACTTAATGTATGTAAAGGTGCTCTCTTTTTTAAGTTTCACTTTCTTGACTCAAAAAAAGCGGTACATTTTAGTTTGTAGAAACTTGAGGCAAAGTTCGGCTTTGAAGCAATCCTTAGCTGCTCTTACATTACATTCCTCATTCGTGGCGTACTAAAATGTAAAACAAAACAGATTTACCAATGTTGATTTAAACTTCGTTAAATTTCTAGATAGAGTCTGAAGTATAATCTTGAATATAATTACCATGGAAAAAAAACAGAGAAGAAAGAAATTGATGGGACTGTGCCTTTGTGTTTGACTTTACACTGAAGTAAGAATTTTTCATGTGTCTCAGAGATGGGAATTTCCTTAGATCAGTTTCGAGCATGGTGAATAATATATTATTCACCGTGGTTTTGAGTTTACTGCCAGCTACTCTGAATTATGTATATGTTTTCCTGCAGTTTTCCTAATTCGTAAGGTAAATATACAGGAGTAGTATAGAACAACTTTAGACCTTATGCACGAACAATAAAAACCATTATACGCTCTGTAATTGGGCACAAGCCTGTTGAGGGCCCAGAACAAGAGAGGGACAATAAATAAATAAAATTCTAAAAACAGAGAACGTTGGTTATGTAGGTATAATTACGGCCTGACATCAACAGGACAGATAGTTTTTTATTAATTAAATTGTACACACTTTTGTAATCCAACAAGGCATCGCATGTATGGTGCATGCCATTCATCATGCCTAAATTTTTTTTTTTCGTAAACCATCACAGATAGCGATATACATCAAGAGACAAAAAATGCTTGCAAGTAAACTGTCTATCAGTGTCTAAAAATTCAGAACCGTCAAAATAGTAGTTAAAAAGTTTTAGACCTCTTCAGATGTGGATGGTCAGTATTTTACTACCTCCATAACAACTACAATCAAAACGATGATATCACAAAGACCCTTTTTACATTAGACATTCACATCCCGAATTTCATTTTAATCGGCAAAACCATTTTCCGATAAAATAAAAATAACAATTTTTTTAAATCTTTGGCGGTAGATAGCGCCTTACCGAAGCACTTTTGGATAGAGGTAATTGGGTTAAATCCTCCTATTTTGATACCAAGAACCCCTGGTAGCGCGTTGTACAGACCTTTTAGGGACACCCTGTATATACAGCGAATTTTTTTTTAATGCGAACATAGGAGTTTGCATGCAATGTAATTTCCCTATGTTCGATTTAAAAAAAAACACATCAATCTATGAGGTGTGCGCGGTTCAAATTACCAAATCGCGCAACTTGTGTGACTACGAACAGCAACTCTACAGTCTTTATGATGAAGAGCACTCGGTAAGATTTCTTTAAAGAAGCCATGTGAGGGGGGGCGGGACACTTCGCCGAATGCCCACAACGCCGACCCGATTTTTGGATGGTCCATATCGCCGACTAGGGACACTACGCCGACGGACACTACGCCGACAGTGCCCACATTGCCGACAAGTGGACAAGGGACACAACGCCGACCATGCCCACATCGCCGACAGGTGTACAAGGGACACAACGCCGACCATGCCCACTTCGCCGACGGACACTACGCCGACCGTGCCCACATCGCCGACAAGTGTACAAGGGACACTACGCCGACCATGCCCACATCGCCGACAAGTGTGCAAGGGACACTAGGCCGAACGTGCCCACAACGCCGACTATTCGGAAAAAAAATACTAGGGACACTACGCCGACAGCGACCACATCGTCGACAATGGAGAAGTTTCCAGTTTTTTGTTATTAATTAATAATGACAATTCCTCCACAAATGGCAAAGTTACAAGACTTTAAAGTTGCGATTGGAAAAATAATTTCGAGACGTCACTTCATCTAGTTTGCTAAGAGCATGCCTTGACCATGCGATCAAAAAAGAGTGGAGTCGCCTATGAATCGCCTTTACAAATTTTTGTTTGTATGGGAAATCGTATTTCGTGGAATTACGTAAAATGACGTCACCGACACTGCCGTTCCGCGCTGAATACCTAAACTTAAATAATATATTTCTCAGTCATTTATTGCCGGATTTTGAAATTTCTTTTACTGGTTTATTAGTTTTGATCTATACTTTGATGTCATTACGCATAATATAGTAAGTAATATCATGTGGTTGAACGGTAAAAGATTAATGAATATCGCGATTCTTAAATTTCACATTTAGTCAAACAAAGCGAACAATAACTAGGGCTGATTGTATAAAGGCTGGTTGAACTTCGCTTGTAGTTAACAAATGGATTAAGGTATAAGAATGGTTAAAATTTGACGTTTTGTCAAACTTCAACCAATTACTTAGGTATCTTAACCCATTGATATAATCCAAACGAGGTTTAATCTGCTTTATACAACCGACCCTTATGCCCTTCAAGAATCAAGACGGGATTCATGAAACTAGATTAGCAAATACGATCTTAAATAAACAACCAGTTATAATCGATCATTTGCGCATGAATCTACCATTATATCAACTATTGGTGACGTTTTCTGTCAATCCCAGAATTAATCTTCGATCTCGGATCAATCTACGAATTAGTACGGGCATTAGTGTCCGCTTTACTAACAATGACACTTACTAAAAATCTTATATTGCTTGGCCACCTTGGATTATAAGGTACGGTGCAATTCCATTCTGGTGCTAATCAATAGCCAGGTTGCGGACAGCATTTTCCGTTATGTTAGACGGCCATTTTTTCTTATAACATAAGAAATATAAATTTTTGTAGAAATAATTTACGGTATGAGGGCTTTTTGTACGATATATTTATAAATAGCGGAACCAATGAAAATGAAGTTCTTATAATGTGTCACTGCGCAGTACGTAATCACCAGAGACTTTCCATGTCTCTGGTAATCACTCATAAAAATAACATTTTCCTGCTAACCTACAATTGTGCAGTGTTTATGTTGGCGGTAGTTCTTTTCTTTTTGTCTAAGAGCATAGTAGGAAGGAAGGCTTTATAAATAAGGATACTTTCAATGTCATCAACTTCTAAAAAAAGGAGTTCATTTTCACCAACTTTGGACATTTTAACACAATGTAAAATAAAAGTGAGGTTAAGACTCCTTCAAACTTATAAGCAAAATTGAACACGCCCAGCACACACCGCAACTTCACTTTGCTATAAAAATGTTTTATACTTATAAACTTATATTATAAGGAAAAATGGCCGTCTAACATAACGGAAAATGCTGTCCGCAACCTGGCTAATGATTAACTTTGACCATCGTTTATATAATAAAGATTTATTTTTATTGTTTAATGTGTACAGAATATGCTAAACAAGATTAGTTCATATTTTATGAATTTAATATTAACATAAGCACATATTTTAACTAATGAATTACTTTTTACTCCGTATTCACATCTTCTCATAGTGGAATACATCCGTTTTTTCTCATAAAATATATTTTTAGCGCATTTTTGCAAAAATTTTTTTGTGTAAAAAGTAGCTTTTAATCTCACTTTGGCTGGCTGGCTGGCTGGCAGTAAATGCGCGCCCGTAGAAAAACGCTTGTAAAAAGACAAGGAGTGTACATGTAACTATCGGGGCCGTGTAATTAAGAACGTTAGGGATGGGGCTACAAGATTTGGAGTCGACGACATCTGGACGCCATCCCCGAGAGTATTATACTAACCTGGAGATTTTTCAGTTTTTATCTATCTTCTTCTACAGTTTTTCTCCGATTGTTTTCAAATTGGTGTCGTCGGGAAGATCTTGTCAACGCGCACAACTCCTGCGTGGCGAAATTTTGTTTTTTTTTCCTAGGGGCGAAATAAACCACCTTTTGCGCGGCGCGCTTCGAGGGGTAGTCGACTTTGGGCGCCCAAAAGTTTCTTACAGCGCGAATCGCGGTCTCTCTTTCTCGTGTCACTAATAGAAGGTCGAGCTATGTGAAGTACTCAAAAGTTGAATACGATTTTATGCCGGGATTTTAGCGAAATCTACCAACATGTGAATTACGAATGAACGGGACGTCGGAACTGTGTATCGACAAAGGGAATGTGGTAACCCCCGACGAGATCTTACTGATGGTGGAGTCGAAACTTCAAACGCGAATTGCGAGTGCACGGTAAGTGAGAAAATGGTACCGACAAAGTGAACGTGGTAGCTTTCGGCAAGATCTTATTGATGGTACGTGGAGTCAATATTGGCTAATAAAACACTGATCTGCCACACAAAAATGCGCTGAAGTCCCTTCGATCTCACACGAGGACTTTGATCATTTTTATTTCAATTTGCTACCCCTCTTCAGCTAATTTCTTAAAATGTACTGATTATCTATTCAATATCCATAAGGGTTTTAGAAATTCTAATCTGTTTTTCTTATTCCTCGAGCAATAATGAAATAACCTTTTCTGTAAATGTACGCTCTGCCTAATTTGCGCCTGCTATTTCCTGTCGGTCTCTGTATTCCCATTATACTCTACCATAAATTTACCAAAATGTTGTCTTAAAATCTGCATAGTTGCAGGTTTTTCTTAGAAAAACCCGTAAATACGGAATTGCGGATTAATGTTTAAAGTAGGTGAAGCTCTTAGTAAAATATTGTTTACAGGTAGAGTGAGAATTTTCACCCTTTACTATGGGAACCTTTGCTGGCGGTCTCTGTATTTCCATTATGTATATTCCATCGTGACTTTATCAAAATGTTGTCCCAACATCTGCATAGGTAATTGAAGGTTTTTCTTAGAAAAATCTGTATTA